CACAACTCAGAGGCATCTCCTCATATGGAAACGCTTAAAAAAAAAACAGTTAATTTTTGAATTATTAAGTAAAAAAAAAAAAAAAAAAAAAGTGGACTTTGCCTTTTTTAATTATGCCTTAAAAGGAATTTTAATTTACTTTAATTTAGTGTCCACAGCCACATCTGTTTGCAGTGGTGCAAAACCAGCCCTGTGTCACTGCACCCAACAGCTGGAACAGCTGAAGGCCAGGTTTACTTGAGGTTTGCAAATGCAGATAACATGTGCATGCTAGATTTTGCATTTGGGAACGTGATTTATCAGGAGGAGCACAAGAAAGCCGATAGTGCCCCAAAGAATTGAAGAAGCTGGAAAACAGTAACTCAGCCAGGAATCCAGCCTGCATCCAGGTGTTCCTTGGAATGCGACCAGATTGCTCGTGGATAAAGTGAAAATATGCAGCTACAACATGTGAGCAGGAAAGAGTAAAACTACTAAGCAAAGTAGTTTTATTGCAAGATTGAGACTGGATCCTCTAAAAGCAGAGCAGCCCCTTCAGGTGTCATCCTGGACCTGCAAAAGCACAGAGCGAGGCAAGGGGCTTCATGCTGGCAGGAACAAAACTCATCTCCTGCCTTTTGCAAAGAAGTCCTCACCCACCTCACCTGGGAGCAGAAGAATCCATTCTTGAGCCCTGTCCCAGCCCTGACTCTGAAAGGTGAAATTTATTGCACAAAGGGGGTTCCCAGCACATCTCTCGTAGCTCCACTGCCTCTGCTCCATCCTACACCCCCAGCTATGAGCAGACATCTGTACTGCTCCAACTCCCAGGGGAATGTTTGTCTAGGAGAGGATTTACCACTTCTGACAGCAGCTCAAGTCCTCTTTTAGGTCCCATTTCTGCACTGTCCCACAACTATCCCTGATTTCCGTGAAGCCCAATGCTAGATAACCACACATCACACTTGCATTGGCTTACACACGCCAGTTTTGGGCTAGGGAGCTCACTATGAAGTGTTAAAAATGTGCTTTTTATCATGAGACATGATTAATTCCTCATTTAAAGGCCCAAATATGCTTTACAATGAAAATGGCTTGTCTGTTCTCTGGTCATTCCAGAGTTCTCTGAAGTTCTGTTAGACGATCATCAAGGGCTAATTGTATGGAAAAGCGGTTGATAGAAGTATCTCATCATTCTCTAATCTGTTCTACATTAAACCTCCTCAGGGGGGCTTGGAAGCAGAACACCAACATCCACACAGATCCCTCCCATTTCTAGCTAGGAGCAAATGCTCAAGTTAGCAACAGAACAAAAACAATTATGAAGAATATCCTGTATAGCCTCAGCCACATAAGATCTCAATCAAAACAACAGCAAAGAACACACTCAGCATGGTGCGTTCCAAGGGATACATTTGCTGTTCTGATTCCATTGCCTGCAGATGACCAACATCAAAAGAACAAACCAGAATTGTTAGGAAAAGGTTGATTCATTAAAAAAAATCCTCCTGGACATGTCACTGTTGCTTGGTGAAAGCTGGTCTCACTCCTAAAGGGTGGTGACATCTTGCATTTCTGCTTACACCAAAGATAAATAGCAGGAAAGTTTGGGACAACACTTATACTTGCCCCAGGTTGGGAAAAGCAGGAAGAATGGCAGTAATTTCAGGAATATGACTCTTGGGAAAAGCACTCAAGGCTCTGACACAGGGCTGGGGGTTCGGGTGGCTGTTCCTGGTTGCTGCTGGCTGCTCCCAGTGACTCCAGCCCAGCAGCAACATCCCCACACAGCATCATCTCCAGAAGGGAATGGTTCCTCTGCTCTTTCAGTGACACAATCTTTAAAAAGATAAACAAAAATTGTTTGGAGGCAATTCACAGTTAACAGCACCTCCAGCTTCAAAAGTGCAGAATCATAGCTATTACTGATGTCAAATGCAAACGGATTAATGTAGGCCAATGCTATTCCTCCTCCTGATAGAGTAATTGCTCAGAAAGAGAGCACAAAGCATGCCTGAAAGAAACACAGAGCACTTTTAACAAAGGAAAATGTTTTACCACAGAATGAGCTTAACTTCTCTAAGCACTGTGATGGATACTTTGTGCTCCAGCAAAATGGAGTAATATAAACCACCTTAAAAGCACTTCTGATAAATGCTGTGTAAATATGTATTGCATAGAAAGCCAGTGAGCAATAAGCTTGGAAATTTCAATTTTCAGACAGAATAAACTTAACTGCAAGCAAATTGAACACATTAAATATGAAAGAGAGGGATGAAGTTCATGAAGATAAAACCGAGGCAGATAGGAGAGACTAGAAACTGGGGTATACACAGATATTTGAAAAGGCTGTCAGGTTGCTTTGGGAGGGGGGCACATTCCTTAAAACACAAGACGAGAAAGGTACACAAGGAAAAGCAAAGGCATACAGCAAGCAGTTTCCAGCAACATTCAATTTCAACACGCAAAAACTTTAACCACAGATCCCGTGCATGCGGGCAGCTACCCTCTCCTAGAAACCGAGCAGAGAGCCAGGTCCGGACACGAACCTTTACAACAAAGGGCGTTTGCGGCTCATGCCGAGCAGAACCCCTCGGATAAAGTTGCCCGCACACGTGCGGCCCCGAGCTCTTTGTGCGCTCCGGGCCGGATGATGCTCCGCGCTGCATCCCTGCCCTTCCCGCACGCATCCCCAGCTGCTTCCCCCATCTTTGCCCTCCTGCCCTCCCCAGCTTGATGGCGAAGGCAGGAGCAGCCCCAGAGCTGCCTTCAC